GGACATTGCTAGTATGTTTTTTAAGCCCGTTCACCAGAGCACTGTTTTCCTAAGCGATACAAAAAGAAGTAGGTAAATGATTTTCCTCACTGTCAAAAAGACCATCTGCCGTTAGAGAAGACTCTCCTAGATTGTATCATTATGATCATTTTTCTATTTCCAGTTAGCAGCGTGCTCCCTTTAATACGGGTTTTTCTGCATAAACCACTATTTTCTCTTGCGCAGATTTCCTCAGGCTAACTTGGCACTTGCCGACTCCTTCCTTCTCCTTCAGGGTGGGAAATTTTCTCTTTTGGAGGGAGATGCATTTCCACATTAGTGCCTATTCATTTCCTTACCATTTTCTCAGAGCAAAACAATCAGGTTCATCACTACTGTTGTCATGGAGATTTTGTGCTTCCAGAAGAAATGCAATTGTAGAGTTTTTTAGTTATCCCACACTTGGACATTTAAGCTTTTTTGGATGGGTCCCAGCAGCCTGGGGTCGGGGGAGAGCGCTGAGACAGGTCACAGGTGATGCTAAGCCAGGTGGGCAGGCGGCGGGGTGGGGGGGGGTCTGGGGACGGACTCTGGGACGGTGGGCATGGTCAGTGCACATGTTGTGGCTGGTGGCCAGACAGATGGCGACAGGGGGCGCCAACCACCCACCTCCTCCACACTTGGCTGTCCACTGTGCCAGGAGCTCAGTGTGGACACAGTCACCTCTCTTCCCGTCTCCTGTGTCTTCCTACTTTCCTTTCTGCATTTTTGACTTTCATCCTAGAGGGACCCCTCACCTCACGCGTCATCCTTTCCTCCTCCCCTGCCAGCCTCACTTACCCCCTGCCCACTGCTGACCCTCTAAGTCACTGTCCCTCCTGCATTTGGCCAGTTCCCTGCTCTCCCCTTCCTGCTGGCACAGTGAGAGAACAGAGTCGATCTTACTCAACTCTTTGCTCAACTGACAGGCCCAAGAATTTCCAACTACACAAATCTGATAGTGTCACTTCTCTGATTAAAATGTTTCTGTGGCTCCCGTTACCTTCAGGATACAAGCCAAACTCCCAGGCCACCCAAGGCTCTGCACATCCTCACTGCCCGGGCTCCAGGCACTCGCTACTTGCTCCCATGGCCCCGCGGCCCCACGTGAACACTGAGCTGTTTCTGCATGGTGGGTGAGCTCAGCGTGGAGACGGAGAAGGAGCTCGGCTGGGGTGCCAGGCTGAGAGGGGCCCCAGTCCAGCTCCCCACAGATCTGCACAACCCAGAGGGAGCCACCTAATTTCTCTGTGTGTCAGTTTCTTCTTCTGCAAAATGGGCCTGTGAGTTTCACCTACTCCTATAGGTGAGAGAATTAGTGTGTGAACACACATTAGGCCCTTAGGTCAGGTAGGGACAAAGGTGCCCTTACTGGTCCCCTGGGGTTATGACTTTGGTTTCTTTGTCATTCACTGCCTGGAGTATTCTGCTTGGGATGTCCCCCTCTACCTTTAATCACTCATCCTGCCCACCCTCCAGGCTCAGCCCCAGTACCTCAGCCTCTCTGCGTCCAGCTTCTGTAACTGCATGACCTCCACACCTTAAGCTGGAGGATCAAAATCCGTGGTTTTAAATCCTAATTCTACTACTCTATACTCCGGTCAATACTTTGCAAACCGTGGCTGCTTCATCTGAACAGTGAAGATAATGAAGTCACAAGTCCCACTGTGTTAGCATTGTCAGTAAAAATATGAAGGAGGTAAAGACATGCCTAACACAGGAAATACTTCCTTCATGTTAGCTATTTTTATTAGAAGCCTTTCTTGCCTTTTATTACCAACTAGCCTCTGTAGTCTTGTAATCGTTTTACTTGTTTCTTTTGGCTTCTAGCTTGCAGGTTATTTAAGTTCAGAGGCAGGGAACTTATTCATCATTATATCATAAGCAATTGACACATCATTCAGTGGAACAGACAAGAGTTCAGCTATTCTATCAACACATGTCACCGTCTGTACACCTTGCTTTGAGAGGCTGGTAAGAGTGGACAATCCTGGGAAGGAAGGATTTTTCAGAGAGGGCTGTTTTCTCCCTCTGGCAGGTACTAAAGGCTGGAGGTTAATGAGTAAGATAAGGATCCATTTGACCCAAAGTTGCCTAAGATGGGAAGGGTGATGTGTGCCACAAGGGCTAGACTAAAATCCATGATTTATCAGTAAGAAGGACCACATCATGCTGGTCTTGAAACAAGGTTATGCCAGCAAATGTTTACCAACTGGTTCCCCAAGAACAACACAAAATGCCCTGCTTTACAGCATTTGCTGATGATCTAGGGGTAAATACTCCTCTTTCACACTACTGAGGTGATTTGAACCAGTGGCCCAAACTCCTGGAAATGAAGCAGTCAGGTAGTCATGAGCACGCAGGTCCAGCACACCACTTACTTAAACTTCTGCCTGGCTTTTCTCTGTAAAGTGTGACTCCGACACAGTGACCATCCTGTCTTGAGTGTAAACGTGGAGGGGAGGTGGATCCCGGGAAGGAGTCACGTTCGGGTTGCATCAGTGCTTCATGTGCTCACAATTATTTTGAAACTCTTTCCATCCGCTGGCTGTGCTGGTGTCTGGGATCGATGCCGACGAGCGCCTCAGAACCTGGCTTGTCCAGGGTTGTGCTCAGAGCAGTATATCTAGCTTTATCCTCCCAATCAGGGCTGTGCTCTCTGCAGCAGACTGACTCAATTAGCCTTTCATTCCAGGGTACAATTCTGAGTCAATTCTGAGGTTGTTAAGCAAAATGAGTCTGGTGGCATTAGCGCCGCACTGAAGGACAGTAATCCCCCTCACTGCACTGCTCGGCTAATAGTCTGCTTGAGAGACTACTAGAAACTGAGACGGCAACTTTCCGGCCGCCTCTGGGGACTGGCCGGGAGCTCGGGGCTGCCAGGTGGCAGAGTTGATGCGGTTGTGTGTGGAACTGGATCCCAAGTTGCATGAACCGTGTTGGCCTCTGCAAAGTTAGCAGCTCAGTACTATGAGATCATTAACTTTCATGACCAGGAGAATTCTACTGAAATTAACACTCAATCCAAGCTGGATGCCATTGGAGCCAGTTGAGTAAGCCTGAGCCACCTTTAGGGATTTCCTCTGAAAAATAAATCCTTTAACCAGGCTACAGCAAACAGCCAGGTTTGCTGCCCTTCAGTGTATTCAATTAGAGTGGGAAAACACCAGCGAGGCTGAGACCGTGGGAGAGATCCAGGCACACACAGCCTCATTTGCAGACTTTGCCAAACCACTCAGCTACAGCACATGGCCCTGTTTGAGAAGCCTTATAAAAGGCCTCTCAGAGGAGCGTCAGGTGCTGTGCAAAGAAAATAAAGCAGAGCTCCAGCGCTTGCCCTGGGGACTACAGTGATGGAACCAGGCACACCACAGACATACGGAATGACAGATTGGCACAGATCGGGAGGCCCAGGCGCCTGTTTACAAGGGTTCAAGGAGAGACCAATCCCAGTGAACACTGCAGTCTTCACCAGGTGCGTGTGGAACCTGGATCATCTCACCAGACATTGAATGCCTCTCTAGTTCAACTGTGGTAATGGGCCGCCACCAACTTCCTGCAGGCCTTTCACAGCCTACCTGCCTCCACCCCGCCAATGTAAACCTAGTCCATAAAGTCTGCTGTGAAACAGTGTCTTGGGTGGGAAGAAGTAAAAACAGCCTTGGGTATGCTGGCCCTCAACTCATCAACTCGGGCAGCTGAAGAGACAAGAGCTGAGACAACTGTCCATTGTCTTTCATAATTGCCCGGTAATTTAAATTCTCCTGAAGTCCTTTGTGTTCCTCACATAGAAACGGAGCTGTTGTCTGCCGCGATGACCTCAGGGTGGCTAGCTCTCATTCAGGATTTCTCCAACAATGTTCTCTTCAGACTGAAGATGCCGGCTGGCCACTCAGAGCCCTCAAGGTCCCAGGCCAGCCTGTCTGTGGCCTCGCTCACTTCCTGTCTCTGCAGCTTCACCCCTACCAAGGGACTCTAGTGGCCACCACTGGCCCCCAGAAAGTCCCCAGACAGCAGACACATACTCTGTTTTGAACAGTGGCCCTGCCAAACACCAGCACCCATGAGCCTATCACATCCAGTCACACCCCATGGAACCCACTCCGGGCCAGTGATATCTGTCCCTCTTACCTTTCTCTTGGATTCCAGAATTCCTCCTCAGTGTCACTTGGCTGGAATAAATCCCTGCCTCCTGGGTTGATGGATGAGAGATCGCTTACAAGACAGACACATGTATTTTTTTTTTAAAAGATTATTTATTCGTACAGAACTGGGGTACAGGCCAGAGATGCAGAGGGTGAGAGGATTCACCAGAGACAGAGTGGGGAGCAGAACAGGCAGATTGAGGAAGTACACTGCTGAGGGGAGCAGCAGGCGGGTCAGGAGAGGTCTGCCGCGCCATGTGGTCACCTCCGGGGCAGGTGGGGATTGAACTCATGAGGAAGTGGCTTAAGCTTCTTAGTGCTGTGCTTTAACCCGCTGTGCTACCAGGGAGGGCCCAGACACATGTATTTTTAAAGCCAGTAGGAATTACAGGAGCAGATGGGCTGTAGGGTCCTATTTTGATGCCAGGGACATGTTTCTGTATAAAGTAAATATTTTCCCTGTGTGGATCTCCGGTGAGTGTGAAGAGGAACATAGGAACATACTTCCTAAAGATGCAAATAAGACTAGTCAGAAATAAATATTGAATGGGAACTTCAAAGCATCTAGATTTCTTCAGTCAGAGGCCCTGAAGACTTCTCTCCACACAAACAGACGCATGAGTGGGTGAGGACTGAGGTCCAAGGTGGGACAGTTGGGGGAATTGTCTAACACAGGATGCTAACATTTTAAGAATGCATGTTTTTTGTTTGTTTGTGTGTGTGTGTGTTTTGGTATGGAAAAAGTCCTTATCCGCAAAGGAATAAAGACAAATTATGCCTGAGCAGAAGCTTAAGGTATTATCAAGCACCCCCCTTTATACACTCTTCCTATTGCAGGTCTCGCCTTGCAGACTTTTTCACAAACTGCCAGCCGGAGTCCAGGTCTGTTAGCAGCTGCCTGAAGGAGAACTATGCTGATTGCCTCCTGGCCTACTCAGGGCTAATCGGTAAGTTGGGGCAAGTGGGACGGGGAGCAGGCAGGCTCTTTCCACAGTTAGCAGGCACTGTCTGTGAACACAGTCTCCTCTGCACGGGGGCTTAGTGATGAGGCCCTTAGGAACTGGCTGTAAAAAAACGAGTGAGAGAGAAAATCAAGGATGGGCGAAGGTGAAGACAGACGGGAGGCCCTGAGGCAGGCAGTGGGGAGCGGACCCACAGAACAGGAGAAAGGAAGCTTATGGCGCTCGGAGGGCAGGCAGCCTGGGGACATCTGTCCCTTCCCCAGAAATGGCCCTTGGAAAATGCACCCTAAATACTGAGATCCTCCTTCTCATTCATAGTCTTGGTGATTCAACTCTTGGCTCGCAGGAGGTGTTGAGCCTAAAATCTGGCCCTTGTGCGAAACACACACAGCAGGAACAGCATTTCCTGTGAAGTCCTGTGGCTTTAGAAGAATCAGGCCCTCGGCTTCAGGAGAACAGGGCTTCCGAACCAGACACGGGCTGGGAGAGAGCCACAGCGAACTAGGCGCATGCCCAGGGGGCCTGGCATCGCAGAAGGCAGCCTGGGGCTCTGTCACCACAGATATTTGAGAAAGAATACCTAGTGAGAGCCGTGCGGGTCGAGGGGCACCAGGGTTGTCAGAGGGGGGTGGCCAGCCCGGACCACGGTCACCCCGCAGGAAGAGCTTCCCACCAAGAACAGCGCAGATGGAGCCACTGTCATCAGGCTGTCTTCATCCAGAGTGTCTGGGGACATGAGGGACAGTTCCCTGGAGGGGTGTTACAGGTGCTGACACACACACACCAGCTTGAGATTCCCTGTGTTCTCTTAGAGTCTACCATTCGCCATCTCTTGAGATGTTTGTGGAGCTGTGTCTTCTTTAAGTGAGCCTAACACATGTGCATGTACTCTCCCCTTTCCGTAACCAGTTTGTCTCCAGTGGCGTTATGTGTCAACCATGCACTCACAGGTTTAAGCAATAACGGAAGCCAACACATGCTTATTGTGTTAATTTTTAAAAAAAATATACATATATAAAAGCACAAAGATGACTGTGTAAAGGGTCTTCAGACCCACTCCCAGAGGTAATCACACTTCCCACATTAATCCCTGTTCTGCAGGGCTCCAGGCTCATGAAGTCCTGTGAACGGCCAAGGGTTGGCACTGCCAGGCATTTCCGTGGAGTCATCCTGGGCTTGGCAAGCCCTTCCCTGCCTGACAGTGATGAAGTCCTCCCCAATTAACAGAACAACTGGTGGAGACAGTGCATTCTGCAGACCAAATTTATTTCTTTCTCGGACTTGGCCCTCTCCCGCCACACTGGCTACTGGTTCTAACTTCCTTGAGGACAAAGCTTGTCCTAATTCTTCCATAGGTCAGAGGTGTGCCATGGTGCCAGGCAGTGGGTGCTTATCAGACACATCTTCTTCTTTTTTAAGATTTATTTATTTATGCATACAGAACTGAAGACGTGCAGTTTTATTTATTTATGCATACAGAACCGTCAGAGGTGCAGGGGCGGTGAGAGGATTCACCAGAGACAGAGTGGGGAGCAGAACAGGCAGATCGACCAAGGGGAGCTGCGGGCCGGCCAGGAGAGGAGCAGACACATCTTAACCTCATCACCTAATTCTGCTGTACCTTTTCCTTCCTCACCCAAGTCCAGAGCTCTCTGCTATGAGTTGAAATTCTTAGCCCAACATATAATGGGATATTATTTAGTTGAAGGCAGCAAGGAAGGTGTGGCAAAGGAGATACACCCTTGACCCAGAAGAGCTTACAAGGAAATTGTTTCTTTCTGTTTGTGACTAGCTCTATCCTGGAATCCTTAACTGCCTATTATTTCTTACTTCTACAAAATATATAAAAACAGAAGGCTTCTTGGCGGGAGTAGGCATGGTCTGGTGCGAGCCACCCAGAAGAAGACATTTGGGTTGTATTAAGTCTCGATGTATTGTTTATTTGTGCCAGTGCAGAACTCATCAGAACAAAACCACGGCCTCAGGAAGACGGAAGCAGGAGGGACCACCCAGCATTTACTTGGGCATTCAGACAATACTCTAGGAGCCACCAGATTAGAAAATTTCCACTGTTTGTTGCCAGTTCCTTCACCACTTGGAAGACTTCAGTCACTCGAGTCTCTGACGAGCAGAGTCCTTGTTATATACATTCGGTCATCCGGACCGAAGTTTCTGAGCTTCCCTGTGTAACTCTGGGAAACCATTTGCTTCTGACAGACGTGGAATCAAAATCCTGAAAGGATTTATAAGAATGTAGAACCAGTTCTCTCTGTTTATGAAGATTAATGGCATGCCCAAGGAAATGCAAAGGACTTAGCAACTCACGCATTCTGAGTTCATTTTCTCCCAATCCTTGACACTCCCGCCATGGGTGCAGGACAAAAAAAAAAAAAAAAAAAAACGTGCAAATTAAGGAGTTCTGGCCCAAGTTTTAAAGTAAATGTGTAAATTATTTTATGTGCTCAAGATAAATGGCCGAGAAAATGCTCTGCTTAACATAATTTCTCACTCAGCAAACACAGTGCATCTGCCGAAAGGGCGACATTTGTTTGAGAAAAGTCTGCACCATCACACAAGAATAACACCTAATTTTTGTTCTAGGTACAGTCATGACCCCCAACTATGTGGACTCCAGCAGCCTCAGTGTGGCCCCCTGGTGTGACTGCAGCAACAGTGGCAACGACCTGGAAGAGTGCTCGAAATTTCTGAATTTCTTCAAGGACAATACATGTCTTAGTGAGTGTTTTTAAAAGACGAAACACACCCGTGAACGAGTTTGCTCCTCTAAACTTAAGCCAGTTGCTCCTTTCTGTTGCTTGCATCTGCTTCCTCTTTCCCTACCCCAACCCCTGATGGCTCTGTCCTGTGGGTAACGGAGAAGGCGCAGGAACAGAACAAGGAATGAACTAGGTGCTGTCAAATTACAACGCCAAAGGGCTGAGAGAGCAAGAGATTCAAATAATGGAGGGTGCATTATGTGGGGATGAATACTTTAGTTCACAGATCAAATTTTGATCTTGGACACCAGTGCAAAAGCTGTTCAGAGGTTCTTAAAACCTGGGAGGAATAGACGATATGAGAAACGCAGACAAATTAGATGTGGGTAAGCCTCGAAGGTCTCCCTGAGAAAAATTAGAATGCTCACAGCCCCCTGGATGTTCAGCCCCCTGGATGTTCAGGGATAGCTCAGAGGTGAAACAGCGATGCTTGAGCAGGATAAGCTGATGATGCAACCAGAGCCTCGGGGTGTTGGTTATCTGGGGAGATGAGCTGAGCTGTGGGGTGTGGCAGACATCCTGCTTGGAAATAGTATGGGTTATTACTACAGTGTCCTTTAGGCAGTTTGGAAATTTGTCTCCCAAATGTGGGGAAGATGCAAGGTGTGAGAGGGGTAATCATGGAAAAACCCCAAAGCACAATCCTGGGCCCCCTTCTGCACCAAAGCGTGCAGGTCCAGGTGAGCAGCTAGCTGAGACACTGGAGCACCTCACTCACTTTTTGTGGCAGCCCCACTAATTTATTGGGTGCCCTCTACATGTTCACTCAATAAGGTCTGTAATACACGTGTGACCTTATTCTCAGGAATATGCAAAAACCCTAAGCGATGTGGGTCTTAACCATCTCCATTCCACATCGAGACACAGGCTGGTACGTTCATAGTCCTTCTGTGCCAGACATGGGATCCAGAGTTGAGTTCCTTCTTCTGTCGCCCCCAAAGCTTTTGTTTTATCCTCACATGGAAGGGCCCATGGCCAAGAATATTTACCTGAACATCAGGGGTCAGGTGGCTTCTTGGTGGGAGCTGGAGAACCCAGTTTCTAGAAATCTGGTTTTAACCACTCCCCCTGAAAGGCGAGGTGCTCAAGTGACAATTTCTCTGTGATGCTGTGCTGTACAGTGATTCATTACTAAAGAATCCACCAACCACGTGCATATAGAAAGTTTTTAAATGGCTACTAAAACCTCCTCATTATTTTCTTTGTTGAAAAGAAATATCTGAGTCATTTTCTCAGTAGGCACTGGGGTAATACGATTGTAACTAAAGGCTTTGATCATTTAAAACAAGCTTTTGGACCCTCAAGCAAATTTCAGAACTATTGAAACTGGCCTCAAGTGTGGAGTCATTCACCGAGGCATTGGTAAACCATGAAATAGCATCTCCTCTTTTGTTTTGGCTTAAAGAAAGTATGCATACCCTCTTGTCCACACTCTGAACATTCTTGTGGCGGCATACAAGTTTTAATGAAGATAAAGCAATGACAAAAGAGGTCAGTGTGAGAAAATTATACTCTAGCTAGCAGAAGATCCGCTCCCTCACAGAGAAATGAACAATTGTCTCTGCTTCATAGTATTTTGGTGAAGGAGTTAGTAGTCTGGTGTCTTATTGCTAATGACTTTTCAATAAAAATAAATGCATTTGGTCTTCAACAGGGACCAAGGCCAGCCAGAATTTTTCATAGTCACTCCATTTATGTACCTTGATTAGAAGCGGCACAACATACCAAAGACGCATGGCTATAAATTCAGTCTCCCGCAAAAAGCCCTGGAGTAGAAGGAATTGGAATGTGTAGATTTCAAGTCAAATGCAATAACTCACTCCTGCTCCCTTCAGATTAACCAAACCTCTCCTGGATTCCCCTATCACGAACACAGCTCCAACCCTGCTTCCCTCTGGTTCCTGGGGAGGAAACAGTCATGTTAGAGCCAAAGTTCATGGCACATGGGATAGAAGAGAGAAGGAGCATGAATAGGCGATAGAGGTCAAGTACCAGTTCCTACCAATCCAGTCTTCATTCAGACGCCACTTTACCTCCCTGGGTCTCTGGTAGCTAGACTGCAGACCCAGCTGCTCACCCCGCTTCAAACACCTCCAAACACATCTCGCCACTGAATGCATTATAAATCGCTCTTACTGGCCTCCCCAACAGGACAGTGACCTCCTCCAGGGCACAGGCTCTTGTTGCTGTCATTGGTCACTTCTGTGGTCTCTACACAGGGCTGTGCCTTCCACTTAGTGTGGGTTACAGAGATGACTG